GAGACTGCAACGCCTGGCGTCGAGGTTTTCGAATTTGCGAGCGCGCATGATAAAAAATCACGTTGCATAAATTGTACCACTAATCAATTCCGACTGAATGTTAAATAATCCCAGCCAAACATGGCATGGCCACGTTATTACACATTGTTGACCACTCAATTTAAAATCAAATTTTGATCTTCAAATTTCGATCAAACATATCTGTCTACAATCGACCTTCGTGAATCCCTTAATGTCTGTCGAACCAAGAAAAAACATTCCGACAAAGCTTCTGAATTATATCACTTTACAAAGGGTGCACACACACCATTGTAAATAATGGGCATCGGTTATTTATTCCATGTGGTCGTTCAACGCCTGATTTCTGGAGTTAATTTATTTCAAAACACAAACAAAATTGATATCAAGGTAGCGTCTGGTTTCTGTTCTGGTTGCAAGGTAAACACAACAATGAAGCGATGAAAGCCGTATTCCATGTGAACAAGTAAGCTATATCCGGGGATTTTTGGTGGGGTCACTATAAGAGGGGCTTTTGTCAACACTATGATCCCCTTAGCAAGGCTCTGGCTACGCCCCTGGCTACACACAAAAGCAGATCAAGTCTTCTGCGCTTGATGATAGCAATTAAATGTTCGTTGGGCCGATTCAAACCTAAGACAGGCATTTCCTCGGGAGCCTTTTTTCTGGAGTGGTGTGGTGTAAGGGAGGATAATTCGGAAAAAGATACTGTTGCAGGTGTCGAACATGTTTTACACACCAATTAATAGCAATGCTGATCCAGAAATATGCAAAAAAGCAGCCATGCGATCAATTCACATCGCCCTCCCCCCCCCCCCCCCCACTTTTTGAAGCATTCCCTACGCCTATGACAGGAGCTTTCCCTTGACCATGAAAAGCTCCTCTCGGTATTGACGATGCCACGCTCTTGCTCATGAAATAGGGCTCCGAAGAGGAAAGGGAGGCTGAAAAAGCCTGCCTAACGACCTCACGCTAAAATGTTCATCATGAGGAGCACGAACCTCAACCGATCACTATGATTGCGGTGCATGTTAGAACATCATCTCAGTCATGACAGGAGTTTCCTGCCGTAGACTGATTCTCCATAAAACAACCTTACATTGTAGGGGGGGGGGGGGAGGGAGGCGTGCGCAGCATAATTCTCAACAGCACAATTCTCTGGCTACTAAATTTAGTCCTAAATGTGCCATGGTTTGATACCGTCATGATACCTTGCACAACACTGATTGAGAGCCAGCTGACAGCCGTTATACCATTCCCACTTTCGCGGGCGTGTAGCTCAGAAGCTAGAGCGGTCAGATCTTAAGGACAGGATTGTGAACAGCGCCGGAATGCCTTCAAGATGGCTATTTTAATTTAAAACCCCATATATATGTGGAGCACTCCCTCAAATATACTCGCCTCATGCGGCCACTTCTCAATGACGGGGCCTCCCGCAGCGATGTCAGTACCGAACATAGCAGATCATTTTAGACCCACTGTGTCATTTGGAATTCCGCCCAAAATTCGAGCATGAGAAAGCTTACTCACTCACTTCCTCACGCAAGAATGCTTACTCACTCACTCTGACGCTGAGGTGAGTGATATCCCATCCTGTCCATTTGGTGTCCCTCCCCCCCCCCCCCCCTCCTGCGTCCCAGATGTGAAGCTCGCGGTTATTCTGGCAGCAAAATTGGGAGATTCTCGGAGAGGGACTCAACGGCCGACCCCAAACCTGTTGACAACTCCATGCTCCGAGCCTATGGCGCAGATTGACACCAAACTTCACCATTTGATACGGCTTGTTCGATTACGTATCCTTTCCAGACCAAAGGTGACTTTGAATCAGGTCAAGTCACACACATTTTACTAAAGCGGAGGAAAATAGGGCTACAGACAATCCTATGCCCGAGCGCATGAAACCGACCAGCATCAAACCTTCACCAACCGATGCGCCATAGTCGATGTCCAGTTTCTCCAGAGCATGTTGACAATAGGTCAGGTCAAAGGTCACAAAAATGTCCTAAACCACCAATATTGACTATAGACAACCCCATGCTTTGAGCCTATGGGAACGATTAGGATGAAACCTTCACCAATTGATGTGCTCAGTTCGATATCCTATCCTTTTCAGAATAACCTGACCTGCAGGCGCCCCCATGCTCAACAACCCCAATCCCTTCTCCAGCCCTGTTTTGGGTTTTAAGCGTTTAAGGCGACCTTTGACCTGACCCAAGGTTACCATGTTCTGGACAGGATGTCATATCGACTATGGCACATCGAGCGGTGAAAGTTTAATGCTGATTGGGGTCATAGGCTTGGAGCATGGGTTATCTGCAGCCCTACTTTTACGTTTTTTGTATTTTTGGTTACCTTTGGCCTGGACCAAGGTCACCATATTCTTAACAGGTTAGACTTTCTACCACGAGGCATCGAATGGTGAAGGTTTCGTGTCCATCAGTGCCACAAGCTTGGAGCACTGGGCTGTCAGCAGATTCGGTTGGCCGTTTCGTGCCTCCCGATTTTCGGCGTGAACGTGGCGGCGTGGACTGTTCGGAGTCTGGCAACACACAGCGTCCCGGTCGAGTGGTAGCTGTAGCTGTGTCACGACCGGTAGCTGTGTCACGACGCAAGGTGTAATGGAGAGGTGGGACCACCCCAGTCCACACCAGTGCGCGCGGAGCGTCGATGCGGGGGTGTGGCCGCCCGTCGCGCGGAAGAGGGATGGAAGAATCCACGGCGATTGGTCTGCGTCTGGAGCGTCAGTGTTCGCGAGCCGGGCACCGGAAATGCCTAGGCCCAATGCCTCAGCAAGTAAGGGATGCCGTTCACGGCATTTCGTGGTCTCTGGGGGCACGATGCTCATGGCTATCCCATACCAACGTGGTGTCCTGTCATCCCATACCAACGTGATGTTCCCTCATCCCATACAAACGTGGTGTTCCATCATCCCATACCAGCGTGGTGTCCCGTCATCCCATACCAACGTAGTGTCCCGTCAGGGTTGTGGGTTTACAAATGAGTCGGGAGAGGGGGCTTAACATTGAAAAATGACGAAAGCTATCCACAAAATAGTCAACAAACTAGTTTCTCTGCAACGTGCCCCCTTTCCTCTCAAGGTTAGGAGAGCTCAAGATGAGACGGGGGGGGGGGGGACTATTGCCTGTGAACCTAACTTAAAACATGGAGCCTGGTGAAACCTGCTCTCAACATACACCAACAAACAGGTTTCTGCCGTGTTTAACCCACTTCTCATAGTTAGGGGAAGGGGGCTGCAACCCTGCCACTGAAAAGGAAATTATACCCTTGTGCCCCATGTATGATTAAGAAAAGTCAGTCCACAGCTGGACTTCCGTTAAATCAAGTCCGTTAAATCGCTTAAGAATGAAATTGATCTTAAAGAGAATCCGTAAACCCATTAACATTTCATTTCGCAATCATGGTGCTGTCCTGGAAGGTTGTGAGCTTGTGTTGAAGATTCACTGAAATTTGGACTCGAATTCCAAAGTGCATTTAGTTGGGACTTGCATTCAGATTTGGGGCTCGAATAGACAACTAGATTCAAATGTGTTGATATTTTTGCATCTAGATATTGAGACCATAATGGTCTCAATTACAGCCGAAGAATTCGCACTCTCAGACCGAGAATGACGAATATTCGTCTTCATCATAAGGTCTGACCATGCAACAAGGATTTAGCTGCGAGTCCAGTTCGAACATATTCTGCAAGAAACATTGCAATTTTGCGAAGGG